TGATTTCTATGATTTCTTTATTCATCACTATCGATTTGTGTTTTTGTGTTAGGTTTGATACTGTCTGCTTACTGTCCAGGTACATGCATATTCTACCGTTTGATATTCTAGAAAGGAATTTTATTGCTTTGGGTCGCTATGCCGATCGCTCTAGTATATTCTTTAATAGTGATGCTGTCAGTTGATTGAAGGATTATGGCTTGGTCCTGGGTCGGGGAGTATTCTTGTTGCGTTTTAGTTGCATTAGCGTAAGAGCAGAGGAGTCGGTTTCTATGTTGAGTTGGGTTTTATTTGTTGTCATGGTGGAATGATGCACACTCACTCACGATACTACACAAACACACTGTGCACTTATAATCGGGTTGCATGCCCGCATTGCTGTGTTGGGGTCACCAATGCAGCTAACTGTAACCTATCTGACTCTTCTCACTCAGTGGTACTCGACTTCGGTACGATTCATGATGGTACATCCGATCGGTTCGGCTGTCGGGGCAAGACGGAAAAATTTTATTATTCTGGTTGAATTTGAAACAGTATACAATTATTACGAGCAAGTTGAAATACAATTTCTTTCGTCGATAACTATCGTGAGCAACCGAAATAAATCTCGTCGACAATTATTGTAAACGAGTGAAATAGGATTCTCCCTCATCGACAATGATTATCAGCAAGAAAAAAAATTTCGCTTATAATTATTATAATTATTATTCGTAACCGAAGCGTTCAATTTTTTAATCATGTAGTTTTTTTGAAAAATCTTCTCCGTATTTTGTAATTAATATTAAATAATTATCCTCAATAATATTATTTAATATTATTTAATATGTAATATAATATAAATAATATTTAATATTAAATATTTCATATATCAGATATATCAATTAAAAATTTTTATATCCTAAATTTAAATAATAAACAAGTTTCAGCTATTAACTTTTCTTACAAACATTTTGTGAGTAACTGTTATTTTTAGTGGATAAAATAATTTTCTATTTAAGTTCCATTTCTTTAATTACGTTTTCGAGTGTTTAAAAGTGTATAAAAATTCACAATTTAATTGTAAATTACCTGAAAAGAGCCATGACAAAGGATACCAAACGTGATAAACTGTAAAATGAAATAAACAATCAGAGAGGTGATTTATACTCATTTGTACAACTGGAAACATTTGTGAAAAATATCGATTATCTATCGCGGTATTCTGAGCAAGCAAGTCACGAGGAACCTTTTCGTTCACCTCTGCGAAGCTTACTACTTATTCACAAACAAAGAAAGGAATGATATCATTTATCGTTTTGAAAGGTCAAGCTTAAACGAATAAACATTCGCGCGCTGATCGTTGAGATACCATGAACAAACGATTTGCCAATGTTTTTAACGAACAATGTATTTAGGGTGTTGCAAAACATACATTTGGCCACTAGTACATTCGACTTTCTTTGATATTTCTGAAACTCTTGGGTGACAACCGAGTTAAATTCGTTTTCTTAAACTGCACTTTATAACAAATTAAGACTGTAGCTTTGTTGCATAAAGCGAAGAAATAAATAATAGATAACTATATTTCTTTGAATAACAACGTTTACCTACGATGTAAAAGTTGACTCTTTTTTAATTTATTAACATAAATTTTTTAATTTGACAACATAAAGTTTTTAATTTGTCAACATACATTTTTTAATTTGTTAACATAAATTTTTTTATTTAAATTTGTTAACATAAAACAAAGTCATATGTCACTACGAATGAAACAAGTATTCTCAATACTTGTTATTTCCATAATAAACTCATTTTTTCTAATTTTGAACCTAATGTCACTCGTTAATTACGATCATATTAATTATATTAAATTTATATTTACATGTAACTTCAATTAATCTATATAATTGTATTAATTAATTATATTAAGTATATATTTTTAATATGTTAATTAAGTATATATTAAATGTTTGTTGATAGGGTCATACATCATGACAATAATACGACAGTAATAGTTCTTTTGTGAGTGAAGGAATGCAAAGTTATATTGAGATTACCATCACTTTTTCCAAATGGAATAATATATTTTTGCTCCATTAATCGACGAAGCTCGAAATTCTATATAAAAAGTTGAAACTATCTATATGTCGAAAAACTATTAATTTGGAAGGTTATAAAATCTATTACATGAAAGACGAGGAGAGAAAGAAGCAGTATCCTTGTCTCTGATATACAGATTTTATTAGAATTGTAGGTATATATATATATATATTATAGGTAATATATATAATAATATAATATTATATAATTATATAAGTATTATATATATTAATTATATTATATATTATATATACAAATTTTATTAGAATTGTAGGTATATATATACTATATATATATTACTTTGTAGGTAATATATATAATAATATAATATTATATAATTATATAGGTATAGTATTATATATATTAATTATATTATATATTATATTATTAAATTATATATTATATATATATATAGATTTTATTAGAATTGTAGGTATATATATTATATTATAGATAATATATATAATAATATAATAGTATATAATAATTATATAAGTATCATATATATTATATTATATTATAGATAATATATATAACAATATAATATCATGTAATAATTGTATAGGTAATATATTGGAATTAAAGTAAAATACTCATTTTTCGACACAAATATTAGGTCAACAGAGGATAAAAAGCTGTATCGATTGGCATATGAAAAGTAATGGGATTCCATTAAAAAAAAAAAAAAGTTTCAAGAGCAACTTTGAAATCTCCTCCAAATTGCAAAAAAATTATTGCTGCCATATCACACTAAACAACTTCTGTCGAACAAAAGTTCTTTCATCTACAAAAGTAATGGAGAATATTCGGAGTAGAATCAAGTAGATCGCTACGGATAGAACAGGCCCGAAAATTCAATCGAAAAAGGAGATACCGAATGCAGTGGCGAACAGAATTGAAAAGAATCGATAGCCGAACTTGACATCGGACGAGGTTTTCCTCGGTAGCTCGAAGCATCCGATAAATTGCATTCACGACGTATCCTTGCCTGGATGACCCAGTTACACGCTCGTACCCAGCTGAAATTATACGTGTGTACGAGAATTTATCGATTGTGGTTGAAGGCCAACGGATACTTTGATATACGCATGTATCGCCGTTCCATAAAACTGAATGATTATTTTTCATGAATAATAAACCTGTTGTTCGTTTTCGTGAATGACAAGAAAACATGAAATTTGCAATATTCTCGACATTTTAATCGCAATATCTCTATGCGACAGCTGATGGTTGAAAAAAAATAAGACTTTAGAATTGTTAAGAAAAAAAATTACGCGGAATTTTTTTCTTTCAGAAAATTTTAAATCAGCAGGTGTATTTCGAATTAATTTATTCAACTGTTGTTAAGATTTTTTCTTTGCAATAAAAGCTATTACGTGAATGTAGAATAAATATTTTGATTTGAGTTTGAAAGTTTATCAAGCATATTTAAATTTAGTTGATTCTAAGACGTGACAGGAAAAAATAATTCTTTGATTGTAAACAGAAAACATTTTAGGAAATCTGCGTTTTTTGAATTGTATTTGCATTAAATGAATTGTGAAGTACAGGATTTGCGTTCTTGTCACGAAAAAATATGTTTTGAATAATGATTTTTTCGTTGTATGTAATGATGAATAATGATGAATAATGATATGTTTTGAAAATATGATTTTTTCGTTGAAAGAAAGCAAAGAGATGTTGCTAATAGGAAGAACTGGTTCAAGTGACAATTCGAAAGTAAAACTACATGTGATAACCACAGAATAAAACTTCAATGTAGAATAAAATTTTTTAATAAGATGTTTCATGTTGGAAAAACTCAAATTTGGAGTTACATTAAGGTAATTTTTAATGAAAAGCATATTTAAAGCAGAGATTGAAATTAACAGGTTCTTTTTGTTTTAAAAAAAAAATTTGAAAATTTGAACTTGGACATTTTGTACAAAAAATATGTAAATTATAAATATATATATATATAATATTTGTTCTAGCAAACTTGCATTGCACGTTTGCTTTAAATGTGTTATGTATTAAAGAAATATAATTAACAAAATTTTATGTCAAACACCATATTTGAACAAAATGATTATTTTCTGTGTTATATTATTTTATCTAAAGTGATACTTTTTATTTGAAGTGATACTAAATAAATTACTGATAGATGATAGAAAAAAAAAGAATAATTAATAGAATAATTAATAAGATTGGTAATTACTTTAATTACATTAATAAAATTAATTATTACTTTAATCACTTTAATAAAATTAATCATTACTTTAATCACTTTAATAAAATTAATAATTTAAATCACTTTAATCACTTTAATAAAATTAATACTTTACTTACTTCAATAAAATTAATAATTACCATAAAATTAATTCCTTTGATACGTTAATTTTATTCCTCTAAAATATCACACTGGCGTTTGGTTTGCACGTATGCTTGTGTCAGTAAGAAGTATATACTGATTGTATATTTTTACGAATTATAATTTTTTTTTCATAATCTCAAAATCATGTAGTTAAAATCATGTACACTCATTTTCAGTTTCAGCATAAACTCAATTTCGAGATCTATAGCGAAGTGGAAACTAAAGTTATTGCAAAGTGATTACATTCGTCGAGACCGTGAAAGCGAGATGCATTTTAAATTGTACGTTGAAAGTGATTGTCAGAAGAACAACAGTAAATCGGTAAAACAGGATAACTAAAGCGACATCTGTCGCAAAAATTACCGATATTATCTCACCCGCTAGTATCACTAGCGGGCAATAAAAATTAATAAAGTAAAAGTAAAATTTTTGTGAAACATGGTTAGTAAAAATATTCTGTTTTTTTCATTAATTTTAATAAAATAGTTAATATATATGTGTGTGTGTGTGTGTGTGTGTGTGAGAGTATTTTAGATCTCAATTTGAGATCAGACTTTGTCAACTTGTTTGAGAGGCCACTTTGAGTAAAAAATATTACATATCACATCAACTTTATAGATGTTTGTATTTCAATAGTGATTTATGCAAAACAAATCTTCAATATGTTTGGAAGTGTGAACTACAAAAATATATTATAAAAAAATAGAGGTATGCAATTAACAATTTTAAGGTTATGTATCTTTCAGTCGTGTTCACTTCGTCGCTACTCGACGCTCAAACAATAAAAACAATAAAAGTTTGATTAATGTGATCATATTCACATTGTTTTCAGTTACGAATAACTTGGATCTCGCTCCAGCAAAATATTCTTTCCAAGAAACGTTAGCAGAACGCGATTGTGAGTATATTACTCGTAATATAATATATAATACAATAATCCATCTGTTTATTCTTTTATTTTGTTTACTTCAATTAACCTCTTGCGCTAGTAACTGGTTCGCGGACCATAACGAGTGACCAAACCGTATAGAATAATATACTTCTTTTTTGAATTCATCGGTATATATTATATTACTGGATAGAAATTACTAAGGAGTAATAAATTTATTATTTGTTTTGCCTGCGTTGTATTTCAATATACTTAAAACTAAGAAAATATTGCAATTTTGGGCCAAATATTCTCGACGTGCGTGGCACGTCATTCCAGCGCAAGAGGTTGAATTGAAATTATATATATGTGTAATAAATTTAACTCAATTAAAAATATGTGAAGACAGTATGAAAGACACTAATTTAACAAGTTTCTGTATCTCTCTTTTTGCCATTTTTTCTTTTGCTTAATAGTTGCTTATATGCAAAAGATTGTGCAATTTGTGCAGTCTAAATAATAAAACAATGTTTGATCGAACCAAAAGCGGAGCGTGAATGAATCGAAAAAGGATTAATGAATTGACAAATGATAAGTTCGTATCTCCTATCGCGTTTTATAACATCAATTCATTTTTTACTTTTATTTTATTTATTATTTTTATTTAAATGACTATTAACGTTAACTTATTAAATGTATAATTTTATTAAAATTACTATTAACTTATATATAACGTTACATTTAGTATATTGATAGTTATGTCTAATAGTAGTATGTTTAATAAACTAACTTTTGCCAAAGCTTGATTACGTATTCTCATGTGGGTAAAATGGAGTGAGAGTTTGCATAAATAATAATTAAAAAGAAATATTTGACTCAAGGGGGCAGGACAGTGTGACGGGCCTAAAAATTATGTATACTTTGGAGGGTTAGTAAAAAAAAAAAACTACATATTTGATTGAGCTTTTGTGGTTTATTTTAACACATTATAAACTAACACATTATAAAAAGCAACTAAAGAGAAAAAAAGTTTAAAAGTAAACAATATTCTCTAGGGATTGACGATTCAACATTTTCATTTCTGTCAAAATTATGAAAATAGCAGCTATTTGTTTTTGACGTATCGAATTTATGCCAAAAATTTCTACGTTTTTTTTAAATTGTTAAAAATTAGAAAATGTTCGATCGTCAGTCCCTAGTAAATTGTTACGCTAAAGACACGTACCAAGTTTCACAGTAATCGGTTGGTTAGATTCCGAGATATCTTGCACACCGTTTCTGAACACCTAGTTTCGAGAAAAACGCGTTTAAGGTTTCAAAACGTCATCTTTCATATGTATCCTTTACTTACTTTTTTTTACTTATATATCGCGGCTCACAGTTCCCACAATTCGCAACTAAATTGAATCCAAGCCCTCTAATATTCGATTCACCAAAAGTAATATTTGAATCTCACGATTTACATTTTACAATACTACTTAAAGTTGTAAACACATGATGCAAATACAATTATTCTGTATCCGCGGTTTATCATTATATCCCAAAATCGTTTTTTAAAGGCTAGGACCTTTTGTATCTTATTTCCAAGACTTGAAATTGCTATTTAAAACAAAAGAAAAAAATCGATTTTTTTTTGAAAATTTCACACTGTCCTGATTCCTTACAGTTTACTTTATAAAATTTTGATTCACGGAAATTATTTACGAGAGATTATATTTGATTGACAAAGTTTGGGCTCATTGTCAGCTTGACATTCCAAGATTTTCCCGATCGCTTTCTCACCGCGTTGAATATTCATATTGTTTCAGATAGAACGTGATCTTCCAAATCTTAGAAGATCTCACTCTCCAGCTTGTTTCTGGAAACGCTGGATTATAATTCATTTATAATTCTAATCATCGACTTAAAAGCTAAATTTCGCGCGTTAAAGCAACTACGCGACAATAAACTCGTCGAGTCAGCGATGATTTTCAATAATTTTGATATATTGAATTTTCTTTAAGTTTAAAGAAAAATACGAATATTTTTAATCGTGTCGCGAAATTACGCATCATCCTGTATAATATACGCATATACGTGATTCTTATTGTCTAATTGTATTTGTGAGGAATCTGAAGGTGCAAAAAAGCACAGAATACACGTAATATGCAGTGCTGAATAAAAATGTATTTCGAATAAAATATAAATATATTTACAAAGATTATCTTTCGCGCAGTGTTTCGTCGGTTTGTTTTCATGTTGATTGAGATATTATTTGAAATTTGTTTGATTGTACAAAGTATATAGGAAATTACGCATTCCAATTACGAAATGTTTCTTAATGCTATGAAAATTTCTATCATAATTGGATGTTTAAAACTTTCAAAAGTTTTAACGAGCCTTTTTATCCTGTATCTTTCAAGTTTTTTTATGAAATATTAAAAGTTTTAATAGGTTTCAAAGTTTTGTGAACGTTTAATTGTGCATGTTGAATCGAAGAAGAAAGAACGATTTTTATATGTCTACGTAACAGTTGATTGAAGACGATTAACGAAAAAAAAAAAAAAAGAAAGAAAAGGGAGGATGGATTACTCGAAATATTGAAAAGTTTCGAAAACTCGAAGTTTTGTGTTCTTTTTCTTTTTGTGATTGGAAACTCTCGAAACTCAAATAAGAAAAAAACTATAAAATCATTTGCAACGTGAATAAAGAACGTTTGACTCGTGTATCTTAGCCAATGTTCGATGCTTCGATTTTTGTTTTTATCGAATGTGAAATAATTTAAAAAAATTTTAGAAAATATCTTATTACGCTACCAATTTTCAACACTACTCAAATTTCATCCTTTTCATTTATCTGTATCTGTTATTCATCAAGAGACTTTGGAAACCATTTAAATTTTTGTCAATGGAGAATACGACAATACAAAAATGAGGAGATGTTTTTCATAAAAAATTTTTTCATTTACCGATGAAACATCCTCTACGAATCGTGGTCTATTAAACCTGATGTCGTTCATGCGAAATATCAAATGGCTTACAATTAGACCAAGCCTGTCTAACGGTTGGCTCGTGCTCCTCTTCGAGAGCCCCCTCCACATTTACTTTTCTTCTCCTTCTGGAGCTAACTAGCGGCTCGCGAGCCACCCCCCACTTTCCTCCTCGCTGGCACTATCCCCTCCACTATCTCGATCCCTCCACTACCTCGATCTCTCCACTTGCTTGGTAGAGAAATCAATTCATTAATTTTATTTATTTATAATTATTTAATTTCTTTCTTATTTTTTGTGATTTTTAACAATCAACCTCCTATTAGTAATAATAATATTGGGGCTGGAAGGCGATCCGACATTTTCAAACACGTGTTTCAATGTTGGCGTCACACGAAAAACTGGAAAATCCGGAAGTGTGGAGGCAAACTGACTTTAATGCAGGTTTGAAACTTATTTATTATTAAATAATAATAAAACTTACTATTATATAATAAATACTTATATCAATTAAATTTATTATAAAGTGAATAATAAATAATAAATTAAAATAATAATTAATACATGTATTATAAAATATTCACAATTTAATATTCGTAATATTTTTATTAGATATTAAATATAATAAAATACTTATTTATTATTCTCATTACTCTTTAAATATTTTTATTATTATATAATAAATACTTATATCAATTAAATATATTATAAAGTAAATAATAAATAGTACATATATTATAAAGTATTCACAATTTAATATTTGTAATATTTTTATTATATATTAAATATAATAAGATATTTATTTATTATTCTTAATACTTGATTCTTTCTAAATACTTGTTATACTATTATTCATGCAGGTTTTATGTAACCTAAAAGTAATTATACGAATAAGTTATTAAATATAATAAAAAATTATTTATCATTAAATATAAATATAAATACTTATATATATATTATGAAGAATTCACAATTTAATATTCGTAATATTTTTATTAGATATTAAATATAATAAAATACTTATTTATTATTCTCATTACTTTCTAAATATTTTTATTATTATATAATAAATACTTATATCAATTAAATATATTATAAAGTAAATAATAAATAGTACATATATTATAAAGTATTCACAATTTAATATTTGTAATATTTTTATTATATATTAAATATAATAAGATATTTATTTATTATTCTTAATACTTGATTCTTTCTAAATACTTGTTATACTATTATTCATGCAGGTTTTATGTAACCTAAAAGTAATTATACGAATAAGTTATTAAATATAATAAAAAATTATTTATCATTAAATATAAATATAAATACTTATATATATTATAAAGTATTCACAATTTAATATTCGTAATATTTTTATTAGATATTAAATATAGTAAAATACTTATTTATTATTCTCATTACTCTCTAAATATTTTTATTATTATATAATAAATACTTATATCAATTAAATATATTATAAAGTAAATAATAAATAATACATATATTATAAAGTATCCACAATTTAATATTTGTAATATTTTTATTATATATTAAATATAATAAAATATTTATTTATTATTCTTAATACTTAATTCTCTCTAAATACTTGTTATACTATTATTCATCCAGGTTTCATGAAACCTAAAAGTACATTATACGAATAAGTTATTAAATATAATAAAAACTTATTTATCATTAAATATAAATATAAACACTTATATATATTATAAAGCATTCACAATTTAATATTTGTAATATTTTTATTAGATATTAAATATAGTAAAATACTTATTTATTATTCTTAGTAATTCTCTAATTACTTTTAACATTATTATTAAGATATTCTTGTGATAAATTTCACATTCAAATAAATACTTATTCGATCAGATATTTATTAGTGACCAATAGCGATGAATAAAATTTTACTTTTTATTTTTACTAGCCACGTTATCCACGAGTAACAAAATTTTCCTCGACTCTGCTTAATAGCGGCTGACATATTCGTGAATGTAATGCATACTCGCCTCGAGGAACATTCTCGACTAACTTTATTATCTCTCGCAACTATAAGTATTCTTTCCCTCGGTGAAGAACTTAATGTGTTTTCATCCGTGATCCAGTTTTACTCGTTCTTCCTGTGGACCGTGGGACTTTTAACGGCGAATTAGAGACAAACCGGATGCAACGTATGTTTCACCGACGCGCTCGCGGCCGTACGTCCACGGAAATTGCAACTGTGTGCACACTCGCACACGCGCGTCAAAGTTCTTATCTCTGACATCACATTTCACATGTGTGCCAATGATCTTCTACGTGCCGCTTCTCTTTTCATCTATGCCAGCGATGCGCGCGTCTTAAAATTCCTCGCGGCTTGTTTGCAAAACCTTTTAGAATTATTACTTCAATTGTAATCGTTGTTTTTTTTTATTTAAACGTCAAAGCTGTTCGATAAACTAAGAAAGGAATGTTCAGTTTGAAAAAGATCGCGAGAAAAGGAACAAAGGAGTTTTCGTTTTTCCGCTTATTTATTTATTTATTTATTATTTGTTATTATCTTAACGATATCATCTATTTAATAAAAATAGTGTTCGAAACGCTAGCAATGCAAGCGTTATATTGACCACTCTGATGGTAGCTAAACGTCGTTCTAATGATATTTGATGCATCAAACTACCGATCTAATTTTTCACTTGTTGTCTTCGGCCGGCATCGAATAAACTTACTTGTTCTTTTCTTTTTTTTGCAATTTTCTCCAAAATCGAGCAAATCTCTTTTTCTCTTAGTTCATCGATTTATTACACATTCTCAGAATTTAAGGGGGTATTCTGGTATTTTTTCTAAGGAAATGATACACTTTGGTGTGCAGCTTTCGCACACAGATTTATTCTAACTCGAAGAATATTTAGAATTTTTTTTTTTTTTTAACGAAATTAATGAAAGTTGTGGAAATTATATAGCCCTAGGTAAAGCACATCAAAGATTGCAGAATGAGGAATTGAGATGTCAAAATCAAGTGTGACACTGCATATAAAACAGCTTCTCAGCGAGTCCAAACATCATGTTCCTTGAACGAGGAACGCTCTCCTAAGTTCTATTAGAATCGCCGACACGGAAACGGAAACGTTCTAGAAACCGAGAGGCACTAAAGTGCATCCTCATTACCGCAGTTAGTATCCCGTATAACACACAAAACGAGCATAATATAATAAATCTTTCACAACACGAACGTGTCTATATATAAAATTGAAACGACGATATTTTTACATTGGCGTTCAATTTTACAAATCAATTGCAAGATTGATTTGGAACGAAAGTTGATCGGTTTGCCATTTTTATGGCTGCTAAATTCAGCTGGAAATATTTCTGTTATTTACATTATTTGATCTTGAAAAATATGTATTTTTGATAGATAAAGATGGAAATGGATACTGCAAGTAGTAACAAATGAATTTTAATATTTTTTTTAATACAAACGTGATAATTTATTTTTTTAATATATGATGTGATAATAATAATAATAATAATATAATAATAACAGAAGAAGAAGAATATAATAATGAAATACAATATAATATAAATGAAAATATAAAAATATAAAAACATAATTAATATAAATAAAAATACAATAATATAAAAATATAAATATAATTAATATAAATGAAAAGATATAATATAAATATAATTTATATTATAATATAAATATAAATATAATATAATATATTATAATAAAAAAATATAATATATTGTAATATAAATATAATAAAAATATAGAAATATAATTGATATGAATAAAAATATAATAATTTATTTCCAACAAGTATCTATTGTACAAACAAGTAGTTCAAATGAGAAATATTTTTATCTTTTTATCTACATTTATATCTATGTGTGTAGAATTTTTTTCTGCAACAGATAGTTTACGAATAATTCGCGTTTATAAATTATTACAAGTTAAAGCAGGCAAGCGCCACGTTGAAAGAAAAACGGAAAAAAGAAAAAAAATTGGAAATTATGTTTTCGCCCAAAGCGTAGTTTCATATAGAATTCCTTTCCGCATCCTGAAATTTTCTTTTTTTGTCGTTTATTTTCTTTTTCTTCTTTTTTCACGAATCCGTGTTACAAAGAGACACGTTATACGACGCAGCGATCCATTGTACAGTAGCGAATAATAAGCGCAAAGATGGTAGAAGCGGCTGAACAAACAGATTTCAGCCATACCCAGCTCGGCTGAATTAGAATTCCTCGGCT